ATGGAATTCACCATGCCAACGGCAAGATGTCGAAAATTAGCATAAATATTATAGCAGATGGCATTCTACACGGTCCGACTGTGGCTCCGACGAAGTTGCCAAAACCAGATCAATCCAACACTTTGAGGCTAAAGAAAATCGCGAACAATCCAAAGGCTAAACTATCTGTCTTTATATCTACTATCTAACTGAAGTAGCAACTTAAGTTATAAATAATACAAACAAGCACTAATTTCAAAAATATGCATCTGAAATAATGTAAAGTTTAGATAAGATAATAGTACATACACTCAAGACAATATCTAGATTGTACGTCTGTATCAGTCAAATCAAGCATTGTATACTATCCCATAAATAGTTACGTTTAAAAAAGCTCATAGAACACTAAAAGTTATATATATATGAAATCCAGGGTTGCAAGAATGCACTATTGACTTAGTGGACTCGGGTTCGAATAGCCAATACAGAAATAAATTCAAGAAAATGTTTTAATTTGTTTTGGAGATTTCCTTGCCTACAGAGTTAGAATGTAAATGATATCGCATATTCCGCCGTTGTAATAGTGGTCTCTTTTAGCATGGGAACGTCGAGTACATATTCACAGATATTATCTGGTACCGTCGACGGGCAAATCGACCAACATCTTAATGAACAATTAAGGTAGACCTCATCTCCTGAGTTGGATTAGCTTAACTATGTTTTGTTCTCCCTCACACGTAAGATTATTTATTCAAGTCTCATTTCTACCAAAATGTTCACATTCTTTAGTCTGGAAAACTGAAGAGATAGATCGATTTGATTTGGCTCATTGAAAAGAATCACTTTAAAAGTCATATGATCCTATTAGCAGGCAAACGATTTCACACTACCTTGGTATTAATATAAATAAAAATTTATGAAAAAAGAGAAAAATTAAGATATAGTCTAACAAAAAGATCAAGTTGTCCTTCCGTGAAGAAAGGATCAAACGATCTTGGCGGAGTGGCTGAATTCAAATCACCGCCTGGAACAGTCAGTGGGATGATCGGGCAGTTGGCCGAACGAAAACAATCAATTAAGGACTGACGAGCCTGATCTATTGCAGAGCGCATGTCGACCATACCTGGGCAGAGTCTGACAAATTCCATAAAGCCATTATGAGTGATGATAGACTGGCAAGGCTAAGGGTTAATAGGATAAATAATGGAGGAACAAAAAAAGTGAAAAGCAATGATAATCGATTAATTGATTAGTACCTAAGTATATGAGTTGTATTCACCCTAATTGGTTTAAGGTGATGAATGAATGCTAGTAGAATTGGACGTAGCTAATTGCCAAAAGCTAGTACCATTGAGGAACTTTGAGAATAATAACTAAGAGAGCACTAAGTTAGCTGGAATTTTGGCCCAGGGTTGGAATTGCTAAGAAAGATCCAAAAACTCAAATAATCAAGCAAAAACAAGTAATTGAGTGAACCCACTACCGTCTCGGACCCTGAAATAAATGCACTTATCCGTTAACAGTTACTTGGATTAGTGGCCTCGGCTCTAAAGTTTAAATATCGTTTAACAATAAAATTTAGATGATCGCTTAGAAATTTATAAAAACCAGTGAGATTGAACTCTCATTTAAGACAGTATGACAAATCGCAGATTTTAATACTTGAGACACTATAAATCTCTTACCTTTGATAGAGATATTTTCCTGCTATACGCAATAAGTAGCATAATTGAAAATTAGTACACGTTGTCTAAATTATATCCAGGCTGTGTAAATATTGTAACCGATAAAATAAAAATAAAGTTATATTAAATTGCAGAGATTACAGGAAAAGTTGGCAAAACTGGATTGGTTGTAAGTTAATCGCACAATATGTAGCAACCGTAAGCAGAATTATATAGGTAAAATATGAAGAAAGACCAGCCTACGAATCAAGGAACATCAGATTGCATAAACATGGATAGGGAAAAACCCGAAAAAGAGAAACACATTGCATTGACGGGACACTAAATCAATCGGAAATCGACAGAAAGACTGGTTGCATATGGTGAAAATATAAGAAAATGCAGTATTCGAGAGATTATTGATATCCTGAGTCAATGAACTGGATAATTGAAAAAGCAGGATTAGCGAAAACTTTGTATATTGCTTAAACAAACTTGGGTAGAAGAGAACAGCATCACAGGCAAAAAAAAGAAAAATGGATCAAGGAAATAGTTTGAACGTTAGGAAAAGGAATTGCAGAGGCCACCGAGGGACAATCGAGAATCTATAGTAGCAAGTGAGCCAATATAGCATTTTTGGTTGACACAAGGGACTAGAGCACGAGAAAGTCATGGACTTGAGATTTGGATAGAAGCGTGAGAGATGGCAGAAACCAGGGCTAGTTGGCATATAACCCATGGGTTTGAGCATAGATGTGACCCGTAAGGGATTGGCCCCAAGAATTACCTAGTGCACATAGCGAACGATGATAAGGGGATCTGCAGTGTTAAATGAGTTTTTATCAAGCTTGAGAATGAAGACTTTGGAGGCCCGTCAAGTGCGACTGAATACGGTATAAGTGATCGAATGAAATTATTGAACATGGAAATAAAAGACGCAAGCAAGAGAACGGATCTGACAGGGCCTGGATAAAAAGAATTCAAGACTAAAAGGGCAAACTCGGATCAACATTTCCATCACAATGAGGGATATGAAGGACCCAAAAAAAGTGTAAATAGCCGTCAGTAAATTAGCTCATAAGACACACCTGTACTAGACTAAAATAAGTTAGAAATAATGATATAGAAGCGATAGAGAACAGTTGAATGTAATAGGATAGAATAGATACTACAAGTGTTCAGCAGACAGTTGGTCAAAGGAAAGACTTCACTTATCTCTGGAGATTTATAGTACGGTGCTAAGATTGACAAAGATCATTGAGAATGTCGGTGATGTCTGGGAATGTGCCAATTCTACGATCCAATGCTGGAAAATATTATGGATATTATGATAGAGGACTACAGACGGGGCACCTTCATCTATCTCCCCCTGACAATACGATTAATTTGCGAAAACGAGGTCAAACCACTTTAAATAAATAATGTTTTATAATAAAGCACATGGTCATTATTTTATGCATGACGAAATGAAAGTTAAGTGTACACAAAGCTGAGGCTGGATTTTTAATTTTAGGTTTACTATCTCGTAAATGAAAAGCGCATTTTTATTCAAGACGATTTGTCTACAAAGACATAGATGTAGTCGAGATTTAAGATAAATGTGCAATGAATCTCAAAACTAATTTTAAATTTGAATGTCTCTAAGTGTGTGATGTGATGTAAGTAAAGAATATTGTTCCATAATTTAAATGAAAATGACAAATAGTCTTCACAAGACAACAATCTTTATAATCTATCATG